AATTAAACTTTCCCTGAGTCTTTACTGAAGTTGGGATATTCAAAGGGACCTAAAGAAATTAGACACTATTGAAAATCAGGGGGATTTGGTCACTGGACTCCCTTGAAATTTCCAGCCCCATTAAACTCTGCCCATCCAGGCACCTGCTTCTCTGCTCCATTCCCAGCCCCATTCAGCAGGTGGGAAAAGAAGAGACTCTCTCATCCCCCCGCATTGAGACACCTGGCGCAGCACAGGAGCCTGCAGGTCAGTGCCAGCAGAACAGGGTGTGAGCATGCTCGCCTCCTGCTAGTGCCTGAGACACTGACCAGCAGCACAGCAGGGAAACGGCCTCTGCCCAGTGCCCTGCCACATGCACAAAGGGAAACCCCAGCAGCCATGCACAGACCACCCCCCCTCCCCTCCTTGGCCACCAGAGACACACTCTACCCCAGCTGCACTCTGCAGCCCAGCTGACGAGTGAGAGTGTCTGGGCCTGGATTCAGTGCAGGGTCATGCTCCCAGACACGTTCTGCAGTGCCATGGGGCAGGGAGTAGGAAGTGAGACGGAGAAGGAAATGCACAGCTCTGGTGTGCTCCAGTTGGTCTCCTTCCCACTATGGCACCATTTCTTCCTCCATGAGATCCCCAGGATCTGACTAACGGCTTGTCTAAACAAAAAGCTGGGGTGTGACTCTCCAGAGCACTAGCCTGCCACGTACTAACGCTGCATGGACCCTGCTGCAGTGCACTCAACGTTTCCTAGTGTACTTTGACCTCCCCCCGTTTCAAACAGCACTAGAGCAAGGTCCACTAGGGGACTTTTAGTGCACGATAGCAGGATCCGTGCGGCCGCTTACTGCATGGCAACCTAGAGCACTGCAGATTTCCACCCCAGCCGACCACACACTAAGTCCACGTGTGGACAAACCCCAGGAAGGATCAGATTTAAATTGAATCCGCAGCAGGAAACGGCAGTGCTGAGTGGGTGTGGGGATCGGGACCCGCTTTCCACTTCCAGGCTGCTCCCCCCTGTGGCTCCTGCTCTCAGAGCTTGTCTGCAGAGTGGGGGAGTGCACTCAAGAGCAATGGGATTTCTAAAGGGCACCTGCAAGTTGCATGCGAACTGGTTCATATAGACTTTTGCTGGAGCCCACTGAGATTTCCTTTGTGCACGACATTTGGTGCACTGTAGAATTGACACCCCGCAGTACTGCACCACCCCCCCCACATCGACAAACCCGAATTCACTCGGCAAAGACACCTACCTTCTACTGCTGCACTGGGCTGGCGTTTGCTGTCTTGCTTGATGCTCACACCTGTGTGTATTACAAGGGATCTTCATGCCTCCTGCTCTGGAGCTTCCAGGATTTATAGAGGAAAGCTGCCTCGCGCTGGCTCAGGCGGCTGTTGGGATCTCCACTGAGGCTGCTCATAATGATCCCAGTGAAAGTGCCCTCAGGTGGGAATTCAGTGCTATTTTGCTTGTTAAAACAGTGTAAACATCAAGGCTACTGACTATTGAGGCCTGGTCTACATTACGGAGTTAGGCTGACGCAAGGCAGCTTATGTCAACCTAACTGTGGAAGTCTCTACACGTAAATTTCGCTTCTGCCAATATAACTGCCCCGCTACGCCAACTTAATAACGCCACGAGAGGCATAGCGTCAAGGTCAATGTAGTTAGATTGACTCAGTGTCAGCGTAGACACTGCGTTACTTACATCGACTGTTACTGGCTCTCAGGAGCCTTCCCCACAATGCCCAGCCCTGACAGTACAACTGATACCAGCACTGCTGGTGAGGCTGCACACCGCCGACACAAGGAGCAAAGTTAGACGCACAAATGCTGTAATTACTGAGGCACGTGTATGCCAAGATAAGTTAGGTCGACTTAATTTCATTGAGAGTCAGATCTATGTCAGCATAACTACGTCGCTCAGGGGGGTGAAAAATCCACATGCCGAGCAACATAGTTACACTGACCCAAACCCCCGTGTAGACAGTGCTATGTGAATGATAGAGGGTCTCCCGTAGACATAGCTACTGTTTCTCAGGGAGGTGTGATTTTCTCAATTTTCTCACCCCACGGGATGTTGCAGTTCACAATACACAGGCCTCTCGCTCAAGCCTGGGTCCAGTCTCCTCTGTTGAAGTCTTCTGTCTCCCCAGCATTCTTGTTGCTTCTAGCATAGGTAAGGGAGGAGAAAGGCCCAAGCATGATGCCCTAGTCCCCTGTTTTATATCCTTAGTTCATGTCTCTAGAAGACACTTGCCCTGGCATGTTCTGGTGGGCGTTGCTGAGTCACAGTGATCATGTAAACCCCCATTGTGGTGGACTTGTACAACTGAGTCATAGAGCTGATTAGTGGTTTGTTAACATCCACCTGGCAGTAGAGGCTCTCAAACTTACAACATATTTCAGTGACAACAATACAGCAAAATCTCATACACACTAACGACATACATATTTGGATAGAACAGGTTTCAGCAGATAATGATCTTTCTTATGATATCTTACATGGCATGCTCTGTATGAAATATCACAATCATCTATGAATAATGAACATGAGGGTTACAGGGTGCTATTTTGAACTACAGTGTGTCACACCAGGCTCTCGTGTTTTCAGGGTTTCTGGTGAAAGGACTCTGAGAATGCTCCATAGTTGCCTTGCTGGTCAATTGCAGACACATATAAACCACAAAGGACTTTAAGGAGGATGGCTGGCTTTTTGCTGACTTGCTCAACCACCAAACTGGTTAGCCACAGACCTGTAGCAGTCTGGGTAGAGCCACCCACTTCTGCACCGGGAGGGCCACTCTTGTGGATCTGTCATGTCACTGGAGGCTCCAGGCAAGCTGCTTACAGAGTGCCAGGAATGTAGCTTTCTTCATGAGCAAGTTCTGGACCCATTGCTGGACATTCCAGTTCTGCGTGATGAGGTGGTTCCACCTGCCTGTGCTTGTGGCCCTGCTACAGAAGAGCCAATCTACATAGGGTCAAGTATCAGAGGGGTAGCCGTGTTAGTCTGAATCTGTAAAAAGCAACAGAGGGTCCTGTGGCACCTTTAAGACTAACAGAAGTATTGGGAGCATAAGCTTTCGTGGGTAAGAACCTCACTTCTTCAGATGCAAGTAATGGAAATTTCCAGAGGCAGGTATAAATCAGTATGGAGATAACGAGGTTAGTTCAATCAGGGAGGGTGAGGTGCTCTGCTAGCAGTTAAGGTGTGAGCACCAAGGTAGGAGAAACTGCTTCTGTAGTTGGATAGCCATTCACAGTCTTTGTTTAATCCTGATCTGATGGTGTCAAATTTGCAAATGAACTGGAGCTCAGCAGTTTCTCTTTCGAGTCTGGTCCTTAAGTTTTTTTGCTGTAAGATGGCTACTTTTACATCTGCTATTGTGTGACCAGGGAGGTTGAAGTGTTCTCCTACAGGTTTTTGTATATTGCCATTCCTGATATCTGACTTGTGTCCATTTATCCTCTTGCGTAGTGACTGTCCAGTTTGGCCAATGTACATAGCAGAGGAGCATTGCTGGCACATGATGGCATATATAACATTGGTGGACGTGCAGGTGAATGAGCCGGTGATGTTGTAGCTGATCTGGTTAGGTCCTGTGATGGTGTTGCTGGTGTAGATATGTGGGCAGAGTTGGCATCGAGGTTTGTTGCATGGGTTGGTTCCTGAGTTAGAGTTGTTATGGTGCGGTGCGTGGTTGCTGGTGAGAATATGCTTAATGTTGGTGGGTTGTCTGTGGGCGAGGACTGGCCTGCCTCCCAAGGTCTGTGAAAGTGAGGGATCATTGTCCAGGATGGTTTGTAGATCACTGATGATGCGTTGGAGAGGTTTAAGCTGAGGACTGTAGGTGATGGCCAGTGGAGTTCTGTTAGTTTCTTTTTTGGGCCTGTCTTGTAGCAGGAGGCTTCTGGGTACAAGTCTGGCTCTGTTGATTTGTTTCTTTATTTCCTTGTGTGGGTATCATAGTTTTGAGAATGCTTGGTGAAGATCTTGTAGGTGTTGGTCTCTGTCTGACATGATAACAGTTTGCAAGTACATAAAAGCTTGTTACAAGGAGGAGGGAGAAAAATTGTTCTCCTTAAATGTCGAAGAAGGACAAGAAGCAATGGGCTTAAATTGCAGCGAGGGAGATTTAGGTTGAACATTAGGAAAAACTTCCTATCCGGGTTGTTAAACACTGGAACAAATTGCCTAGGGCGGTTATGGAATCTCCATCCCTGGGGGTTTTAAGAACAGGTAGGACAAACACCTGTCAGGGATGGTCTAGATAATACTTAGTCCTGCCATGAATGCAGATGACCGCTCAAGGTCCTTTCTAGTCCTACACTTCTAGGATTCTAGGATGCTATCTGGAAAGAGGCAAACACAGAGCAATGCGACTACGAACAAGAAATAAATCATAAACCTTACAGATTGGCCGGGAGTCTCCAATGGGACTGAGATGGGGATTGTTAAGAACTTCACATAAAGAACTGAACAAAAGAAGCCAATTTGCAGTGTGCAACAATAATTTTTATTGATCCTACAAAAACAACGATACATATTCTTGTGCACCATCTACCTCATCCATTCACTTACTGTTTACTAGAGCTGGTGAAAACTTTTTAGTCAAAGCTTACTTCAACAAAAATAGGGATTTGACTAAACAAACTTTTTCATGAAAAATATCTGCTTCCCTCATATATACTGACTTTTTTTTTTTGACATAAAATGGAAAACAAACAACAAAACCATTTTTTTCAACTTCCAGCTGAAAGTTTTCGGATTTCGGATGCCAAAAAACAAAACTTTTTTCATTTTCATGGTTTTCAGTTCTTTGATGAAAAGTCAAAAGTTTCTGCCAAAAATAACCCCAAAAACATTTTCCAACCATCTCTATAATTTACAAATATATTTATGCACATACACGTCTTTCATAGAGCATTTCAGCATCAGGGGCCACTTGGACCCTGCCGCTTTGACAAGAGAAACCTGATTGACTGATCCTCATTTCAGTCAACTAATCTGAATTCCTTGTAAGGGTCACAGATCTCCTGACAGCATTTCTCAGGGCCTCCTTGACCTCTCTGTTTCTCAGGCTGTAGATGAGCGGATTGGCCAGGGGCGTCAGGACTGTGTAGCAGACAGAGAACACTTTGTTCAGGGCTCTCAGGGTGCTGGATTTCGGTAGCATGTACACAATCATTATGGTCCCATAGAAGATTGTCACCATGATGAGGTGAGAGGAGCAGGTGGAAAAGGCCTTTTGCCTCCCGGTGGTGGAAGGGATACTCATGATGGTGCTGATGACACAAACATAGGACATCAAGGTTAATAGAAATGGGAGAACTATATTTAGGAAGGAAAATATATAAATAAACAGTGTGATCTGGCTGGTGTCACTGCATGAGAGTTTTACCATTGGGGTGAGATCACAGAAGAAGTGATCCATTTCATTGGGGCCACAGAAAATTAACTCTGACATGAGACACACTAATATTGTACAAGATAGAAATCCACTTATCCAAGACCCAGCTGCTAGCTGGAGGCACAGCTGGCTGTTCATAAGGGCTCCATACTGCAGCGGTTTGCATATGGCTAAATAGCGATCGTAAGACATCACTGACAAGAGATATTCTGTAGTTGCTAAAAAACCAAATAAAGCCAATTGTGTGATGCAGCCCTCCACAGAAATGGTTCTGTCCCCAGTCAGGAGACTGGCCAGCATCCTTGGCAGGATGGTAGAGGTGTAGCAGGTCTCCAAGCAGGACAAGTTCCCCAGGAAAAAGTACATGGGGGTTTGAAGGTGCTGATCAGTCACAACTAGCACAACGATGAGGATGGTCCCAGCCATGGTCACTACATAGATCACTAGAAACAACAGGAAGAGAAGATTCTGCAGCCCAGGTTGATTCCCGAATCCCAGGAGGATGAATTCTGTGATGGGCGTTTGATTTCTCCCTTCTGCTTTCTCCATGAGCTGTAATAGTAGGGAAAAAAGCACCAAACACTGGAATAATTTCCTCTGCTATTAAACAATAGAAAGTTTCCTCCGTTCAATTACATGAAAGTTCAAATAGGAAAATGAGAAAGTCACATATTGTCTTCTAGGGCCACGTACCTTGACACTATTGAAAATCAGGGGGATTTGGTCACTGGACTCCCTTGAAATTCCCAGCCCCATTAAACTCTGCCCATCCAGGCACCTGCTTCTCTGCTCCATTCCAAGCCCCATTCAGCAGGTGGAAAAAGAAGAGACGCTCTCACCCCCCCGCTCTGAGACACCAGGCGCAGCACAGGAGCCTGCAGGTCAGCACCAGCAGAACAGGGCGTGAGCATGCTCGCCTCATGCTAGTGCCTGAGACACTGACCAGCAGCGCAGCAGGGAAACTGCCTATGCCCAGCGCCCTGTACCGTGCACAGGGGGAAACCCCAGCAGCTATGCACAGAGCCCCTCCCTCTCCCACTCCTCCCCTTCTTGGGCACCAGAGTCACGCTCTACCCCAGCTGACAAGTGAGTGTATCTGGGCCTGTATTCAGTGCAGCGTCATGCTCCCAGCCACGCTCTGCAGTGCCACAGGGGCAGGGAGTAGGAAGTGAGATGGAGCAGGAAATGCACAGCTCTGGGAAGGATCAGATTTAAATTGAATCCGCAGCAGGAAACGGCAGTGCTGAGTGGGTGTGGGGATCGGGACCCGCTTTCCACTTTCAGACTGCTCTCCCCAGTGTCTCCTGCTCTCAGAGCTTGTCTGCAGGGTGGGCTAGTGCACTCAAGAGCAATGGGATTTCTAAAGGGCACCAGCAAGTTGCACGCGAACTGGCTCGTTTAGACTCTTCCTGGTGCCCACTGAAGTTTCCTTTGTGCACAACGTTTGGTGCACTGTAGAAGTGACACCCTGCAGTTGTGCACCACCACCCCCCACCACCCCCGTGGACAAACCTGCATTCACTCGGCAAAGACACCTACCTTCTACTGCTGCACTGGGCTGGGACTTGCTTTCTTGCTTGATGCTCACACCTGTGTGTATTACGAGAGACCTTCATGCCTCCTGCTCTGGAGCTTCCAGGGTTTATAGAGGAAAGCTGCCTCGCGCTGGCTCAGGCGGCTGTTGGGATCTCTACTGAGGCTGTTGATAATGATCCCAGTGAAAGCGCCCTCGGGAGGGAATTCAGTGCTATGTTGTTGTTAAAACAGTGTAAACATCAAGGCCACTGACTACTGAGGCCTGGTCTACACTACAGAGTTAGGTTGACGCAAGGAAGCTTATGTCAACCTAACTGTGGGAGTCTCTACACTTAAATTTTGCTCCTGCCGACGTAACTGTCCCACTACGCCAACTTAATAACGCCACGAGTGGCGTAGCATCAAGGTCCATGTAGTTAGATTGATGCAGTATCAACGTAGACACTGCGTTACTTACATCGACTGTTACTGGCTTTCAGGAGCCTTCCTCACAACAGCCTGCACTGGCAGTACAATCGATACCAGCGCTCCTTGTGAGGCCGCGCATTGCCGACACATGGAGCAAAGTGTAGACACACAAGTGATGTAATTACTGTGGCAGCTGTATGCCAACATATGTTAGGTTGACTTAATTTTATAGTGTAAACATGGCCTGAGTATAGCAGAATGCGTTCCTTAGGATTTGGCCCATAGAAGTTATTCTTTGCTGACTCTCTGGGCTAGATTGCCCATTCTTGGATGAATTAACAGGATTGATATATGTAAGACATGGGAGGGAATTGTTCTGCTCTACTCAGCACCGGTGTGGCCTCAGCTGGAGTGCTGTGTCCAGTTCTGGGTGCCGCACTTTTAGAGGGCTGGGGACAAATTAGATACAGTCCAGGGGAAAGCAACAAAAATGATAAAGAGTTTTAGAAAACCTGACCTATAAGCAATGGTTGAAAGAATTGGGCATGTTTAGACTAGAGAAGAGAAGGGTAGGAAGGATATGATCCCAGTCTTCACAGATGTACCAGGTCATTAGAAAGAGGATGATGAACAATTGTTCTCCATGTGTACCTAGGGTAGGACAAGAAGGAATCTATAACAAAATATGTAGGAGGTGGGAGGCACTGCGGAATCACAGAGCAACCTTGACCAATGGAGAGACCATTGGACTGGGACTATTCCCAGCTATGCTCCTGGCCTGCTGGTTGACTGTGGGCAAGTCACATTGCCGCTCTGTGCCTCAGTTTCCCATATGTAAAATGGGAGTATTGCTGTAAAGGTCTGGGGATCTGCTGATGAAAAGGACGATAGCAAAGATAGGTCTTTTGATTATTAGCGAGCCCCTGTAGCACCTCAACTGCAAATTTTTAAATGAGAACTACAGCTGTCTAAAATATGCATCCGAAGAAGTGGGTTGTAGCCCACGAAAGCTTATGCTCTAATAAATTTGTTAGTCTCTAAGGTGCCACAAGTACTCCTGTTATTTTTGCGGATACAGACTAACACGGCTGCTACTCTGAAAGCTGTCTAAAAGGCATTACAGTACCTTTTATCAACAAACATTTCTCCTTCTGTTTAAAAAAACTAGGAAATAAAATCTCAAAAAACTTTGTCAACGTAGAGTTAAAGTGCCTGGTGATAGCTCAGGCCCTTCCGGAATGCTGAGTTCAGCTAAACTCAAACTTCTGAAAACCAGGAAACACAGAGAGAAAATAAATGCCTACACAACCTTAACTCTGCCCTACTTGAGCGAAGCCCCAGAACTCCCATAATGGACACACTTTCATTCTGCTTTTTCACTAGAATAGACAGGCACTACGTGCACTTGCCCTGCACTCAAACACTCATCCCTCTCCCCAAAAAGAACACTACCCATGTAAAATTTAGAAGCCCCTTCACCCCTTTTCACAACCCCTTCACACAGGGTACCACCTAAACCTAGACTTCTCCCTATCCAGATTTAAATCCACAGATTGTTCTCATGTCCCACCTCACTACGGACAATGCCCATTCCAATACAGAATTGTATCCACTGTGGCAGCAGCAGGGAACTGGGGTTTTCTTGCCAGGGGTACTGTCAGTGGGGAGGTGGGTCTGTGCATTCACAAAGGGGCTTGGGCATTGAGTGTCACAACTCCTAACTTTTTGGTGCCTAGAAAAATCACAGGGCTGCACAAAGCCTGCGTGGTGCCCCTACAACGAAGGAGGAGAGAGCGGCACCTAAGAACGTGATCCATAGAAAGACCGCACACTCAGCTGAGAGACACCCGAGCTAGCCAATGGGAGATGACGAGCAGACGGGGGTGTCCTCAGCGCCACCCCTCTCAAGAAGTTCAGCCCTAAATCTGGGCTGGAGGGGGAAGCCTCGCTCTGCTTGGGACTCTCAGCCCCTCTCTGAGTTAGACACGGAAACCTCCTAGCTTTGAGTCCAATGTTTAGGCTACGCCGGGGTCACACCCTGGGTTCAAGTCCTCCAGCCTCAGGTAAGTACACTAACCACTGGGGTTACTGGCAATATTAGTGGGAGAAGGACTCCCACAGTCTCTCCCATTGAAGCTGTTCCTCTTGGCACAAATAATAAAAGAGGCCTTGGCCCAGAGACAGTAAATACGAAAAGGGCTCCATAGTCTGGAAGACGAGTGCTCCCCGGGATGTGGGAGACCTGGAATCCAAATGACTCTTTCATCATTTAAAATCTAGGAATCAATTAATTCAGATCCCGAGCCCCAAATAACCCCCTCCCCCAACCCATGCCACACACCTCCCCTCAACTGCCCACCCAGCCCCCCAGCTCCTGCTTAAACCCATCTAACCTCTTGCTGCCCCATCTCCAAATTACCCCCAACAGAACCTCTTGCCAGGGCCCCCCACCCATCCAACCTCCCTGTCACACCAATCCCCATCTCGCCAAAAAAAACACCCCCTGCCACAAAGCTCCCTAACCCCCCCCAGAAAACATTACCCTGCCCATACCCTCTGTGATGGGTTCCCCCAGGGTGCCACCTGGAACTGGGGTACCACTGAGCCCTGCTGACCCACCAGCCTGGGCTCCCTCTTACACTGTACTGCTGTGACAAGCTGCAAAGCCCTCCAGGCTCCAACCTGCACCTTCACCAGCACACATACCAGTATAGATACACCCAGATGCAGTTACATGCAGGCAGGCTCTCTGACCAGCCCCTGCACAGGAAGGCTACAGATAGGGCAACTACCAGCTCCTCAGGCACACACCCCCTCTGGAGTATAAACCCAAAATTATACCATCTTGTGCTGCATAGGGAATTGTACAGCGTAAGCTCATAAAATTTGACCACTCCCTTAATGTGGAGAGTATGCAAATGCCTTTTACCCCTGAGGTATGATTCCCACAATGGTTCAGAATAGAGCAAAAATAAGTTTATTAACTACAAAAGATAGATTTTAAGTGATTATAAGGGATAGCAAACAGATCAAAGCAGATTACCTAGCAAATAAACAAAAAACACAATCTAAGCTTAATATACTAAATAGAATGGATATGAATAGCAGATCTTCACCCTAAGAGATGACACAAGAAGGCTGCAGATTCTTAAGGGGCAAGCTGCACTTGCTTACACCTCAGAACTCCCAGGTGTTCCATTCACAGGCTAAAAATCCCTTTAGCCTGGATCCAGCACTTCCCCCAGTTCAGTCTTTGTTCCTCAGGTGTTTCCAGGTGTGTTGTTGTAGGGAGAGCGGATCCCAGCATGATGTCATTTCCCAATTTTATATCTTCTTCCCACTTGCTGGAAAGCTCTTTTGCTGTGACCTGGGTCAAATAGTTCCCATAGTGTAGTGCTATCTCTGAGAGGTTTCTATTGTACACAGTTCCTGGGGTAATCCTTGTGCTTGTGTGCATTTCCTCAATAAGCCATTAACATTGTTTGTCCTTTGTACTGTTGTACCTGAAATGCTGCTTTTGGGTGCTTTCAATCTCACGTTTCAGTAACACATACATAGCCAAACTTCATAACTTCACATACAACGATAGCACATACAATCCAACAAGA